GGTAGAGGTAAGGAGTTTGCTTTTGGTTGTGGTTCTCTGCCAGCTTCAGGAGGAAGCAAAAGGAGGTGGGTTCTCTTGCCTGGGTGGCAAAAAGGAGTTTCTTGTGAGGGCTTCTCCGCCTAGCTGTGGGGGCTAAAGGAGAGTCACATTTTATAGTGCAATACTTGGAGGGTGCCTCCAAGGAGTGGACGTAGGTCGAGTCGACCGAACCACTATAAATTTCTGTGTTCTTTTTCTTGCTTCCGCACTTTTAAAATTATGCATTTATTTTTGTGGTGTGATTTGGTTTGTGATTTTCTTTCTTTGTGTTAAGAATTTTTTAAATACCAATTCACCCCCCCTCTTGGTTAGCTTGGGACTAAGTTCATAGGGCTTAACATCCCGAACAAACTTTCAAAGGTTAAGCTAGCCAAAGAATTGAAGTCATTGGGACCAGTTGATAGTGATTATCAAACGAAGAAGAAGAGGAATGGAAGGTTAAACCCCAACAGTGGGGGAAGATCCTCTATACCTTTTTAATTATGTCTTCAATTCTTTTCTGGAACTGCGGGGGAGAGAAGAAGAAAGAAGCTTCCTTGTATCTTAAGGAAATGGTTAGAGATGAAAATGTTTTCTTTATTGGACTTATGGAGACCATGCTGTCCAGCATTGATAGAAGGGAGGTTGGTTGCCTTATGGGAAATGAGTGGGAATATTTTCACCAACCTGCTGTTGGGACTTCTGGTTGTATCCTGGTTTTGTGGAATATAAAGTTGGTGTCATTTGAGGTGTGTGAAGCTTCTTCACAAGTGATCATTAGTAATCTCTCGGTTCCTAGCTTAGGAACTTGGAAGATTTCTACAGTTTATGGGAGTCGCTTCTACAAGGAGAGAAGTGATATTTGGAGTCAGTTGGAAAAGAGCATGGAGAATTCTACTCCTATTATAGAGGGAGACATCAATTGCATTTTAAATAAGGATGAGAAGAGAGGAGGTAAGAGGTTCTTATTTTCTAAAGGACCTAGAGAAATGAAGAGCTTCATGGTAAATTCATATTTTCATGATATTGGATGTGTTGGGCCAAGATTCACATGGTGTAACAACAAAGAGGGCACTTCTCGTATTTGGGAAAGGTTAGATAGATGTATTATGAATTCGTTGGCTATGCAGAAGCTTCCTTTGGTAGTAAACAGACATTTGGAGAGGATGGCGTCTGACCACTGTCCTATTGTGATTAAGATGGATGAAAGGGTGCAGCTTAAGTTGAAAACTATCAAGTTTGAAGATAAATGGAGATCATATCCTGCGGCCAAGAGCATAGTTTATCATGCTTGAAAGAAGAATGATGTTGGTAATGAGTATATAATCTTACAAAAGAAGCTTAATTGTACCTTGAAATCATTATTTTTCTGGAGTAGAAACAAATGCAAAGACTTGAATGCTTTAAAGAAAAAATTGAAGAAGGAGATCCTTGATCTGCAAAATAAGGAAGCTTCAAATGATAATTGGTCTGCTGATGACCTTTTTGAACTTAGAAATAAGGTATATGAACTCAATGTTACTATGAGAAGACTTTCTACTTGGTGGAATAAAAGGGCTAAGGCTAGGTGGCATGAGGAAGGTAAGGCAAATTCCAAGCTTTTTCACAACTTTGCAACGGCTAGAAGGAATGGGAATCGTATTTTTCAAGTCAAAGATGAAGCAAATAAGTTGCAAGAGGAGGAGAATCAAATCAAGAAAGTCTTCATCAACTTCTTTGAGAAGAAATGGAAGCATAGAGAATGTGAAATAACGGGCTGGCCTTCTATTATGGAGAATCAGAAGTTAAATGCTGAAGATATGGAGTTGTTAAATGCTGAATTTACTGAAAAGGAGCTGCAGATTTCGGTATTCCAGCAAGGGAACAATAAGTGTCCAGGTTTGGATGGCATTACCTCTTCATTCTACAAAAGTTATTGGAATATAGTATGGGAAACTTTATGGAATGCAGTTAGAAGCTTCTTTAATTCCAGTCATATGAATAAGGAATGGAAAGACACTTTGATTGTCTTAATTCCTAAATTGAAGAATCCCTTGACTCCTTCAAACTATAGGCCCATTAGCCTATGTCAAACCAATTATAAAATTGTGGCTACTATGCTTGTTAACAGATTGAAGAAGAGAATCTCTAAAATGATTTTCGAAGAACAAGTTGCCTTCATCCATGGAAGATCTATTGCTGAACATTGTTTATTAGCTCAGGAGATTTTTCACAAGTTCAAAATCTCAAAGAACAAGAAGGGAATGATGGCTGTTAAGCTTGATATGGAGCAAGCTTATGATAGCATGGGATGGACAACTCTTCGTCATATTTTGAGATGGTATGGTTTTCCTATTTCTTTCTCTAGCCTTCTCTTGGAATGTGTGGTAGATGTGAGATTTTCCATTATCATTAACGGGAAGAATTCTGGATGGATTAATGCTCAAAGAGGATTCCGTCAGGGATGTCCACTTTTACCATAATTATTCATCATGTCTTTCCAGTTGATCACTAACTCACTGGAGCAAAGAGGGAAGAGTCTTGGCATTCAAATTTCAAGTCGAGGATCGAAGATTACTCATTTACTTTATGTAGATGACACTCTTATTTTCTCTCATGCATCTGTTGAGCTTGCTAAAACTATGAAGACCATTGTGGAGAAGTTTTGTAAGTGGACTGGGCAAAAAATCAATGTTAGTAAATCTCAGCTGCTTTTTGGTAAGGTGGTTAGCTATCATATGAGGAAGAAGATTGGAAGAATTCTTGGTTTCAAGATAGTGAAGGAAATGAAGTACTTAGGAGTGAAGATCTCACTTGAAAGACTTAAGATGGCTGATTATCAAGAGATTCTTAGTAATGCCATGGAAAGACTTAATGCATTGAGTAGGAAATCTTTATCCTTGGGAGGTAAATTGATTCTCATAGAAAGTTCTTTGCTCTCTATGACAAATTTTCTAATTACCCAGTCTTTGGTACCTATGAGGCTATTACATGATTTGGAAAAGTTGTGTAGAAGCTTTATTTGGAATAATAATGATGGCACTAAGGGGATGCACTACATTGCTTGGAATGATATTTGCAAACCAAGAAGTTTGGGAGGATTGGGATTACATTCTCCTATATAGAGAATCGGATCTTTAAGATCCAAGGTGACATGGAATTATATTCAGAAGCCTTACTCTTTGCTTCACCGTGTCATGAAAAGGAAATATGGTGACAATGTAATGAATGGAACTCAAAGGAGCATTAGTTCAAATGCATGGAAAATTCTAGTGGATGGTGGGAGTAATCTGAGGATGGCGATGTGTTGGAAGGTGGGGAAGGGAGATAAAATCAATATTCTGAATGACAGTTGGGTGCTTGATAGATGCATTAATCGTTGGCCTCCTTTTGCAGACTGCAACTTCCTGGATGGTAAGAATGTGCAGCAACTGATCCTATCTAATGGTATGTGGAATTGTGAATTGTTACAAAGAGCATTTCATCCATACCTTATTTCTTTAATCACTCAAGTTCCAATTGAGTATGATGATGAGGACCAGATGGTGCTGATGAAGATGTGTTCGGGGAAGACGGTGTCTTCCATGGTATATGAACAAATGTGGATTAATAAATACAATTTGGAGGATGTGGAATATTTCAGCTGGGTAAAGAAGTTGAAGATGAGCAAGAACATTGAAATTTTCTGGTGGAGACTTGGTAAATCAGCTATACCAACTAATATGCTTCTTATGAACCGCAAATTCTCAGATAATTCCCTTTGTCCTAGAGGTTGCCAAGCTAATGAAACGTATGAGCACATTATGGTACAATGTAAGTATCTGATCGAAATCATTATGAAGCTGCGGGAGTGGGGAATTTTTATTCCTATTTTCCATTCGCTGGAATGCTGTTTGGAGGACTTAAGGAAGATGTCTGTCCAGAATTCTGGGATTGTTCGGGTGTATTGTTCTATTGTTTATTATTATTGGAAGAACCGAAATGATATTAAGCATGGTAAGTCTGCTATGCCATGCTCCATTGTTGCTGCTAATGCTTTGTTTTATGCAGTTTCCAAATCTGGTCCATTTCTTTCTAGCTGGGGTACTAATCTCCTTAGGGAGTCTCAAAGAACTTGGTACCCTCCACCGAAGGAATGGATTAAGGTTAATATAGATGCATCTTTGACAAGCTCTAATGTGGCTAGCATTGGAGGAATCTTTTGGGATCACAAATGATGGTTTATTAGTGTATTTGGAAAGAATGGAATTCATTGGGATATTGGCCATCTTGAGTTACAAGATGTCCTCACGGTTAAAGAATTTTTGAAGAACTGGATATTGGAATGTAAAGGGCTAATCATAGAGAATGATAATGTCAATATTATCAAATTCATTCAGAATTTTTTAAAGGAGAATAAGGAGAATGTGGAGAAGTGGCCACACAAGAATTTATGTTTTTTAAATGATTTCAATAAGGTTGTCTTCCTCCATGCTTATAGAAATTATAATAAAGTAGCAAATTGTTGTGCTACTATGGCATTGGAGAGTAGCTTTTTCTTTGATAGCTTTTCTTTTGATTGCATTCCTTCCTTGTTTTTAGGCTTAATCAAGGAAGAATGTGATCCCTTTATTACTTATACTTAGGTTCTTTCTTTTTGTTTAATGCTATTTGATGCATTTCTTTCAAAAAAAAAAGACAATATAGAATTTTATTGACTTTTTCAAAGTTTAAAAATTCTTTATCTAAATTATATAATGATGTCACATATTGAATAAACCTAGTATATATGTTTAAGATCATCTCATAAGGTTTCATGTAAAATAGTTCATAATGATGCATTAAAGTATTCAATCTGGATTGCTTGATTTCACTAGTATCTTCGTATATAGTGTGTAATTTATCCCAAATTTTATTGCCAGTAGTGCACGTGGATACAAATATATAATCTTTATAATTTAAATAACATAAAAAATATTTTAATAATCTAGCATTCAATTGAGTATTGATTTGTTCTTACCTACTCCATTGATTAAAAGGAATATTATTATTAATTCCATCTATAACACGACAATAAAGAATAATCAGTTAAAATCATTTGCCACATTCAGTAATCAATTGATTGCAAGAAAGTAGACGTGAATTTTCCAAAAATTAAAAGTAATATTTTCAAATAAAGGTGGTCGGGTGATTGAATAACCTTAGGCAATATTACAATTACAAAAATTAGCCATTGATCAAAATTTAAAAAGTTTTCAAACCTGATTTTATGAATCCCGCTCTGATACCATTTGAAAGTTCGACAGAGATGTTAAGCCCTAATGAACTATTCCCAAGGCTAACCAAGAGAGGGGGTGAATTAGTATTGAAAAATTATTTAAGTAAAATCACAATCACATCCAAACCAAGATTCTTCACAGAAATCAAAGTGCAAAAATTTAAATGCAAAAGCACAATAAGAAAGAACACACTAGATTTTATAGTGGTTCGGTCAACCTGACCTATGTCGACTCCCTAGAGCCTCTCCTCCGAGTATTACACTAAATATAGTGTATCTCCTTTTACACCCACAGCAAGGTAAAGAAGCCCATACAAAAAACTTGTTTCCACCAACCTATGTGAGATAGAGAACCCAACTCCTATGTCCTCTTAAAGTAGTTAGACAACCTAACTCCTTTTTCTTCCTCCTGAAGTAGACAGAGAACCTCGATCTGATGCTAAAGTAGACCTCTCTAGAACCCGCAAGGAACCAGGGATGATGACCAGAGAAGATGATGATGGATCCTTACTTAGAGCAACCTTTCTGAAACCCCTCACAAACTCCCCCTCCCAAGATCCTCTCTCTCTCTCTCTCCCTTACTCTCCCTCTCCTCGTGGCTCTCTCAGGTCAGGACAGTAGCAAAATATACTCTCTTGGGTAAAATACAAGGTCTTATATAGAAGAGCTTTAGAATAGCTCTTAATTGCAACAAACAGATATTATTGTCCAGGACAATTTAAATATAATCCTATAGGATCAGTACAAATTTAGTTCAATCAGCCAAGATTATTTGGGTTGATCAAAAGGCTTTTTATTCATATCATCCATGATGATAGTACAAAAAGCTTCTTGTATAATTAGTACAAATCATTGAATATCATCCAAACTATCCCCCTGAATGGATGTATAAATAATATAAAAATAAATTAATCGTTCAGGCCGATCTCACGATCATCCCATTTGATTAGTGTAATTCAATACATATCATCTAAAGCAACACCCTAAATAAAACCAGGCCAATCTTTGATTGTCCAGGAACAACTAAGGTTTGTGAACTGATCATCCCGGCCGATCCTACGAACATCTAGGATGAGATGATCTAGCAATCAAATCTTAATTACTTTCCTTAATTAGTAGTTTAATTTAGGAATAATTGTACTGTATCGTCTAAAATGATATCCTAGATGATGTTTAAAAATAAAAGATACCTAAAAAGTTCTGATGATTGATTCTTTCTGATTTGACCCTATCATCCCGGCCGATAACAATATCATCTAGGATGATTATCTTAATTATGGCTGCCTTAACCAGGATGACCTAATTAGAGTTTATGTTTTTAACTAATTGTTCTGGCCAATTTTTGGATTGTCTCGGACGATGTGATCGAAAATAAAAAACTTAAAAATAATAAAAAAATTTCCCACAATTGTGTGTGTATATGATTACTTAGCATCAAGATCCACATTGTTACAAAAGACTCAAGAAAAGGTAACAAGATAGATGCTGTACATTACAAATTGACTCAATCTTAATCTACCCAATCTTGAGATGGTTTAATTACAGTTTGATCTTATGGACTTGAAACATTAGTAGGTAAGGCAATCGTAGACAAACATAAGTGTTTGCTATCATCAAAATTATAAAACTCATGAGCTCGAATCACAACAAAACTTTCCAACCAAAGTTAAAGAAAAAGGGATGGATTATTAGGAATAACTTTATCGTCAAATGTCAAAGTAGGAAAACCCTTGAAAGAAGATTGAACTAAGTCAAACTTTGAAGAAGAAGGTGAATTACCTCCCTTAAGAATATCTTTGAATGATAGAGATTTACTATCAAGATTCAAAGATGCCCATGGGTTGGATGATGATGGCATCATCATCTCCCAAACCCTATAGGAATACAAAAAAATAATAAATAAGGTCATAAAATAAAAAAGTAGTAAAAAAATAAATGAAATCAAACAAAAACACCTGGGAAGAATCCACAATTTAGTTGTAGGAGGTACCAAGAAGGAAACCTAAATATTGCCTTAGTTTTGCCAGAGATAGCACATGTAGAGGAGTCTTGAGAATTTAAGTAATATAAGTCATGATGATACTTCTACAAACTTTGTACTTACTTGTATTTGATTTATTAACATGTTTGATTTAATTTGATTATAATTATGGTTGCCTACTTTTTATAGTTTTTTTTTGGTGATTTGCATACCATTTTAGTTTTAGCATAGATACGCGGAGACTCGTGAGGGTATGCTAAAAACTTTTTTTTTTACTTAAAATCGATTAAAACTTTTAAGCTCGCATAAAATTCTATTGATTTAAGAATTAATCCTGGTACCACTGGAGTTAGCATAAGCATATTTTTACTTTCTCCTCCTTGTTAGGCACCTCCCCACCTATAGATTCCGGGAGATCACCTTGCCTTTGAGGGTGTAGATCTGTTAAGGGAATTTTTTGAATTCTCTAGGGAAAAATTATTTTTAAGATTTTTTTAAAATTGCTTAATATAGATTTTATACATTTAATTGAGTTGATCAATATGCATTGTATTAGAAACTAATTAAACAAGTTTAAAATTTTAATTGCATTCATTTCAATCATTCTGACCCAGCATAAGTCAAGGGACCAATTAGGATCCACTCTAGACATCGACCCTAATTCGCAATAACATTAGTAACCATTTTCTTACAACTCATTCAAAAAAATGACCAAACTTATAGATTTCAAGACAAGTAGGTGGTTAGCTAGCTCCCTAATCCAGGCTGAAGTAAGTCCATATTTTACACTACATTAGCAAGGTTTCGATTACCATGGTTCGGTGCCCAATTTAGATTTAGGATCCGGGGCAGATTTTAAATCATAAGACTTAAACTTCTAGGAATATAATCCCAAATTTTTAATAAATTACATAAATTAAATTAAAAAAATTCCTTAACATAAAATTTAAAGCCCAATATGTAGCTTAGGTTGGGACACACTTCTAATTATTTTAGAATACCAAAGTGTCTTCTATCCCTCCTCCATTGACTCTTGAAATAAGTTTTCAAACTCAATCCAATCCCTATTGAAACTCAAAATTCACCTCTTTTGATATCACTCCTAAGAAAATCTTTAAATAGAAATTTTTCATTATTTTAAATGAGAGTATTCATAGGAAATTCAACCTCCCTTAGATGTAATTAACTATGAGGGCTTGCAGCCATATGAGATTTAGAACCAACACTAACCTTTAAAAAAAAAAATCAATTTTTAAAAACTTTAATTAATCTTTATTGAAAATATAAAATAAAAAATGATCAATATCGTCATGTTAAAATAATTGGTAACAAATGATGTTATTTATCTTTGGGGAGTTATATCATTTGTTTAAAAAACTTCATATTATAGATTACCATCTAAATTATCATAGCCAGATATTTGATTAAACTACATTTAGGCATTTTGGTTTCAGATATAGTTCTTTCTTAAATTTTGCTATGATTTTTAAGGTGGAATTTAGAATTCTAAATCTAAACCCCACTTTGAAAATTTATTTCTACCTCTCAAGGTGGTATACCTTTTCTGATGGGATGTTTGATTTTAAAATTAAAATTCAAGGTCAAATTTAGGTTTCCTAAATAATATTAAACTTTTCAAAACCTCTTTTCAAATTTAACCCAAATAAGATCTAAACAGTATATAATTGACATAAATTTGAAGAATAAGTAGATCTTCTCCTACTTTCTAAAGGAATAGGGTGTTGTTTACACAACCCTTAATAATGGATCTATTTAGGAGGAATGTGCTCAGTCTTTCATACCAATCTCTAGGTGCTTGTTGTAATCCATATAATTCCTTTTTTAATTTGAATACATGATTAAAAAAATTGGAATGTTAGGATCCAATATTCATCAACTAGGGCTTGATCTATACTGATGTGTTCAATTATGGAGATAAATATAGAATGACTAACCTCCTTTCTACATCCATGCCTTAT